AGCCCCCCCGCTCCAGCAGGTCGCAGAGAACGGGGGTGAGAGAAGACTCCAAACCTCCCTCCACCCGCTCATTGTAGTGTTGATGCATGTGTGTTCTAAGGTGCATTTAAAACCCAGGAGGGCATGGAGCTACCTGCCAGAGAGCAGCAGGTAAGTTGAGACAAACTTTAAAGCGCTGATCAAACATAGCTAAGGAAGAAGAAGCTGACATTATCTTCAAAAGACATGAAGTTAAATAAGAAATTTCTTCAGTACTTGAAATAAAACTTTTTTTTCTCTCTCTTTTTTTTTAACAGTTTCAAACATAACCATGAAGAAAAAGAGCCAGAAACAAAACTTTGGGGAGCGTGCATGGCCAGTGCTTTGTGACACCACCTCTGACAAGTACCATATGCTTGTAAATGCAGCTCGTAGTCAGCTAAGAGGCTTTTAGTTCATGTGTGGGGGGTTTTTCCACCGATTCTTCCCTCAAAATTCTTCGAGCTCTGTAGATTTTAGGGCTGTCTTGCATGAACTACACTTCTGAGGTGAATTTTTTGATGGTGTTTCAGCTGGAGGACCGTGATGGCCATGGCTTGGCCCTTTTGAAGCACTCCATTGTAGAATTTTAGATGTGTTTGGGGTTATTATCCTGTTGCAGGAGTTATCCTCTTTTCATCTTCAGCTGTTTTTTTTTTTTTTTGAACAGACAGTATGATGTGTTGGCTTGCTGAATTTGCTGCTATTCACTGGGATCCATTCTACCTTTTACCAGGAAATGTTATAGCTACAAAATTCTGGTGCTGAATTTTGTTAGGAGACCCCAGAAATTTGTTTTCTGATGGTTTTTCTGGGAAAAAACTCATATTTGTACACATGTATCTGTGTACACATGTATCTGTATACCCATCACCCAGCACTTGAGACTCAGACAAAGCTTCTTTAAATCTTTAAAGTGGACTTATTATGCTCTTTACAATATTTTGTCACACAGATTCTGTGCAGTGCCATATATAAAATATAGGCAACGTTACTAAATGAAACCCTTTTTGGTTTGTTAGAGGTAACCAATCAGAAGAAAAAATGCCTTAAAGGAAGATGAACTGACGGACGCTGGTGCAAGCTGAACCACGCTTGGAATAAAACAAATGGGTAATTCTATGTCAAATTACTGTTGTGCTTCTACTTGATTTGCCTAAAAATGTTATAACATATACAATGATTGCTAATATATCAAAATACTCCATCAGGCACTTCCAGCATGTTCTTTCATATTGAGGTATTTTCTGAACATGAATACACCAAAAGCGATTAAAGATCAAAGCCTGAAAATTTGACTGGTCATTCTCTGCATAAAATCGAATCAGGATCTGTAATTTGGGACACGACACACATATCAACAAATGTCTGAATACTGGCTGATTAAATAAACCCATTTTGTGTGCACAGACATTGCCAAAAGACTCTAATAATTCAAGTACAAGTACCAATGCAATTTTGTACATAAATATGGCAAAACAATTAAGAGTAATGGGAAAAAGGATTTAGGTGTTCACTTCATGTGAGTAGTCCTGCAAGGCAAGGTTTCCTTGTCTACTTCCCGTGATTGGTAGTCCAACACCAGACCCTAAACCATTGAACCTGACAGCCATGAAGGGATCAGGCAATCAGCGTCCTGACTGCCACAACGAATGCTGCAATTATTTTGATATCCATGAAAATGCTACATTGTTGTGTTTTAATGCCCCTTGGTATATTTTAATTTGACCTGTCTTGAAATCTAAGTAGAGTAAGTCTCAAAAATGAAACATTTTCTCTTTTCCTCATTCTTAACTCTCCCTGTCTCTCCTCTGTCAGTGTGTGTGAATGAGTT